AGTTCTCATTTCTCAAGGCAATTTCTCTCCTGGATGTTCAGGAGGTGCCAGAGGAACACATTGGCTGTTACACAGGTGCCAAAGGAACACATTGGCTGTTACACAGCTAGTACCTTAGTGTAGTCCTCTCTGTCACAGCCCACAACCTAGTAGCCAGACTGCAGACGGTTAATGTTGACTTTTCTCTTCCTGTTTTCCTATGAGGACAATGATACAGAGCTCTTGGCTTGGAATTAGTCAGTAGCTAAAGAGCACAAGCCAGAAAACTTGTTATTTCTGGACCGTGTTTAACCATAGCATGTGAATAATTAGAAGTACAAGGAATGACTCACTTGTTGAAAGACGTCTCCAACATCAAACCCCATCTCTTGTGCTGTCTCGTGTCCATGGGGTGTCTGAAAACCAAATCCCTCCCCTCGAGTAGGCCAGGAATTATACTACACAATCTAGCAGTGAATCTTGCTGTTCAAAGTGTGGCTGATTAGAAATTCAGGTTCTGGGGCTCTGCCCTAGGCCTACGGAATTCATGTGTATGTTTCTTATACCTTGAAGTTTGAGAGAAACGAGACTATATTTTTGGGGGGAGGAGAAACTGATTAGTTTCCTTAAAATAACTCTAATGGAATGGGATGAGATGGGTGGGTAGACTGTGGGGGGAACAGGCAGGTACCCATGGCTTACCACTTCACTTTCCTCCCCGCTGTGATTCCTGGCTCACTCAGAAGCACGCAAAGCTGCAGCCATCAGTTTGGAAACTCAGTCCAGGAATGTCTGTAGATCTTGACGCAGGGATGGCATCCTGGCCCCGGGAGGTCCTGCGTTGAGCCAAGGGAGTTGGGAGACCCAGACTCACAAATAGGTCTAGATCTGTCGTGATGAAAGAATAAATCTTTCAGGAACCCCCAGGTACACGTGGATTGAGGGCCCCACTTTCCTGCACTCAGAAACCAGGTCCTTAGGGAAAGTTGGGCTTCACGTTGGAGGGCAGCTTCGTAACCTCCAGTGTGTTTGCCCCGACAGCACGTGAAGGACATTATCCTGCAGTCCAACCCGCTGCTGGAGGCCTTCGGGAACGCCAAGACGGTCCGGAACAACAACTCCAGCCGATTCGTAAGTCTGTCCCTGCTCAGAGTGTCGCCTGATTGATGATGTTGGTGTTCCTGAATTAAGTCCACTATCTCACAGGAAATGAGAGCTTTTCACATACCGTCGGGAGGCCGCCTTTTCCATCTTCATTTTCCATCGTGGCGTGCCGGCAAGCTTCAATTGGCCCCTGGCTGAAGCTATTTTTGAGCCTCAGGGAGGCAAGCAATATAATTTTGTAATCAGTTTCAACTTGAATTGCCTAAGGAAAATAAAATTGATAAATGTGGCAACTTTGGTCCCGGACGAGTTTGCTTTGTGCCCTGGAGAAAAGGCCTTCTTTCCTAGATAAGAGATTCAGTAGGCTTAGATGGGTATCCCAGGTATCATTGCCCACTAGTAATGGATGACCTTGGTTCTTAGAACTTGGTCAGTAGCTACCCAAGGGAGCTGACAGCTGGACTGATCTGGCACGTTGGAGAGAACCTTCCTCTTCTCTGTCAGAGGGAGCCGCCTACCCCTCTTCCCCAGATCTGTGCTTTGGTTTGTACCTAGCCTCACAGACTGCCTTCCACCTGCCTCGCTTGCCCCAGTGACTACCAGGTTGCAAATGCCCATTTAGACGTTTCTCTGTTGGGTGTCTCCTGAGGGGGTAAATTAGACGGCTGGCAAGGATGCATATGAACATATTCCCCTTGACAAAAGCCACATTTGCAAAGAAACAAATGTTTGCCCAGTAACCTTGGTTTATATAGATTTTGCATCTTATCTCAACCATAGATTATGTCTGGCACTAAAGTATTCAAGGCGCCATCTGTGAGGCTGATTCTGGATGATTTTAAAATAAATAAGTGGGAATTGCAGAGAAAAACAATTTCTTTTTCACTCTCTATTTTCAAAGGAAACTTCTATTTCCGAGAGAAATTTTACTATGTTCTCCTGTAATAACCAAGTTCCCTGGTGGGTTATATCTGTCAGATTCACCCTCACTTTCTTTCCTGGCTGCTTAATATTATCAAATTATTCATTTATCTATTTTTTATCCCCCAGTGCATGACTTGTGTTATCTTGGAGAAATTTCTAGGTAATGAAATAGCAAAGCAGCAGTGAATAAATTTTCCATTTGCCCTCTTTTTCTCTAATTGTCCATCTAGACCTGCCATGTAAAAAGGTGACCAAATTTAACCCTCTAGGTGTTTTCTGCTTTCTTGCCCTTCAGTGGGAGCAGAACAATAATTAAATCAATGTTTACCTTGATTTTTCCTAATTATTCTTTATCCTTGGAGGCTACATCCGTTTTTTATAAATAAATATAAAATATTGTACAACCCTGATGGAAAGATGGGAAAGATCATGATGGGCATTTCAGACACACGTTCACACACAGACACACTCATGCACTCGTACACACATTATATACATAGGCACAAGCACACACACCCACATATACATACTTACACATACCACAGACAGGCTCACACACTGTTGCAGAGGCAGCCTGAGACATCAGAAAATACTCACATTCATGAATAATGAGAGAAATAGAAATCAAAACCACCGATTTTCTCTCTCAGATGGACAAACATGGAGGTTGATAATAACAGAAAAGAAACACTCTGCTCAGCGCCCGTAACTTAGCGGCTAGGGGGCCGGCCACATATACCCTGGGGCTGGCGGGTTCGAACCCAACCCGGGCCTGCCAAACAATGAAAACTATAACAAAAAAATAGCCGGGCATTGTGGCAGGCACCTGTAGTCCCAACTACTTGGGAGGCAGAGGCACGAGAATTGCTTAAGCCCAGAAGTTTGAGGTTGCTGTGAGGTGTGATGGCATAGCACTCTACCAAGGGCAACATACTGAGACTCTGTCTCAAAACAAAGAAAAGAAAGAAAGAAAGAAAAGAAACACTCTTGGTTGAAGAGTAACACCTTCTCTTTCTCTCAGGAGAGCAATTGGGCAATTTTCATAAAAATTTAAAATGCTCATTATCTTGGACCCAGTAATACTTTTTGAACAAATTATGTAAGTTCTCTGTACTTGGTTTAAAAGACATCCATACTATATTGTTACATTAAAACAAAATCACAGAACGATATTCACAGTACGTTCCAATTTTTGTTTTAACACGTGCACATAATATAAAATGTAATTCAGGCGGAAGTCGGAGTTCAATATGTTATTATAGGGATTTTCTAGTAAGAGAATGTGGGAGTGGCCTCAGGGGGGTAATTGTGCTTTAAAAAGTAGACAAGCAGTGTGAACCATAAAAACCTATTTTCCACCTGTAAATGCTTCTAAATTTAAAAAATACATATTATGAAATATTTCAAACACTATCCTAAAATAATACGATGAACACTGAATGTGCCTATCACACAGCTTAATAAATAAAATATTACAAGAGTCGAAGCTTCTTTCCCTTTAATTATCAGCACACAACATCCCATTCCCCAAGGCTGCTAGGCAGCAATCCTAAATATTTAGACTTTTCACCTCTCATTAGGGGTTTAAGCCTTTTATATAACAATTTTGAACCATGTGTAAGCATTTTGCTATCTTAGAGCAGCGGTTCTCAACCGTGGTTACATATAAAAATCACCCAGGTGCTTTTTAAAACCATGTTCATTAAGTCCAGGCAGCTGTCCCTAGAGATTCTGGTCTGAGGGGCACCAGGCACCTGCATTTTGGAAAGGCTCCCCAAGTGTTTCTAACAGGCAGCCACGGTTGAGAGTCTCTGGTTTCCAGGTATGACAAACCCCCTTCCTGGGATTGGTGTCCTGTTTGGTTTCATTTTCCCTCAATAGATGGAGTTTGGGAGCAGGCCCTGAGTTCTTTCCCTCGCCACATCCTATCAGGCCAACGTGGTAAAGTGTGGCTACCCTGTACAGGAAGCATGGGGTGCTCTTTCTCAGCAAGCTTTGCTGTGGACCCCCTGGTTAGGTCTCTGCACCTGGTACCTCTGGGTATTTGTTTGTAATTTTAGGGAGGAGGTAGAGGGGTCATCAGATTAAGACAAATAGACAATGAGAGGATGGCCATCCTTTGTGGTCTCTCTGACACCTGCAATCAGTAGCTTAAGGACAGGAACACAGTGTGTACTCAGGTACTCACACATTGGCACAGCACATGGAGCACTTTTCTTGTCCATAATGAGATGACAGTTCTAGTCATCGACTTCAGGTGCATCTGAATTCAGCCCTGACATGGGTGGATTTAGTCAGCATACAAATTTGTATAATATTAAACATGAACGCAGTAAGGCCAGGCATACACTCTGGTTTGGTCTTAGGCCACACCACTCCCTGACTCTTTCTTTCATTTAAATTTACCCTTTTGGCCTCTGAGGATGCTTACATTTTTAAGGACAGGAGTGAAACTAAGTCTACTGGGAAAAAATAAATATATCATTAATTTAAGAACCTGGCTACCTTTGACAATGAAATTCCAGATTTAATTTTCATTTGTCCCTTTTTAGCGGCAATTAGTAACAACAGTAACAAATATCCCCAGCTCTACAAGTTGCTGGAAATAACTTAATTTTTAATGAAGTGTTTTTATTTTAGATAAGCATTTTAGGGGCGGCACCTGTAGCTCAAAGGAGTAGCCCCATGTGCCGGAGGTGACAGGTTCAAACCCAGCCCTGGCCAAAAACTGAAAAAAAAAAATTAAATAAGCATTTTAGATGCTCCAGAGGTAAGGGGCATTGACAGCTTTTGCCCAAAGCTATGAGATGAAGTCTGCCAGAAGGATAATGTGCTTCCTCTGAAAGAGGATGGCAGAGTTCACTTTTATTAGGTTAAGGGTGCCTTGTGGTGTTTCTGTCCCATTCTTTACACCTGCCAGTTCAGTAAGCAAGTCCCTACCAGGAAAATATGCAAGGAGTTGAGTATCCTTATTTGGTTGTGCTGGAATGACAGATTCTCTCAATACAAAGTTGTGTGATGGGTCAAAAATATTGTTCATTGTCTGATAGGAACAAATGAGAAATCTAGACTAGAATTAGGAGTAATTCCGAGCGCGTCTTTCATTAATGAGTTTCTTTGAATTATACTATATTGAAAGCCACTTTGAAACACCATGTTTTTGTTCACCAACCATTGAAGGATATTCCTAACTTTCTTGCAGGGAAAATACTTTGAAATCCAGTTCAGTCCAGGTGGGGAACCGGATGGTGGAAAGATCTCCAACTTCCTTCTGGAAAAATCCAGGGTGGTGATGAGGAACCCGGGAGAGAGGAGTTTTCACATATTTTACCAGGTTTTCCATTATGTTTTTTTCTTTCCCTCTTCCTATTTCTTGTTCACATTAAAAAAAAAAAAAATGGTCTTTTTCTCAGCCCTCAGTTAGACATTCTAGTCTGGCAAGCTCAGGCACAGTTATTGGTTTGGCCACGCAAGTCAGCGTGCAGAATTGTGGGACTGTCGCTACCCTCCAGGAGAATACGTTCTAGTTGGAGTAATGAGACAAAAATTCCTCTAAAAGTTGAATATTCAAGAAAAGGCTGATACAGCTACAGAATAAAAGTAGGAATCTTTTGAGTCTTTGCCAAGGAAGAATTCATGTTGGGACAGTTGGCTGGAGTGATAAAGGGAGGTATTAAAGAAGTGAGGTGGAGTCCAGATAGAGTAGATGGGGACTGATCAGGGAAGACAGGTGACCCTCTAAGGCAGTGGGGGCGAGAGAGGGAAAGCAATCAGTGAGCCAGGCTTCAGCCAGTCTGCAGGGGCGGAGGTCTCCAAAAGTGAACTGTTGGAGGGAGAATTTAAGATAGGCTTGGGGTCCACCTAGACCCTCAGAAGCCATGGAGAGTTTGGAGCTAAAGCAGTCTGCAGGATATTTAAAATCATGTTCCAGCTGTTGGCATTCATCTGATTCAGCTATTTTTTTTAAAGGTTCCTAAGTATTTAAAACACATACTGATGGCATAAGCCAAGTTTTTAAATTTCAGGTTTACTCATTAGTATTATATATATTAGGGAGCCGGGTTAAACCTTCTTTGAAGAAAGGCCTGGTAACTGTCCCTATGCTCTGTTTCATTTTTAGTTTGAAGATCACTGGATTAGAAGCGTGTTAAACTGTGGGTGTAGCTCATATTCAGTCTTCTTAATTACACAGACATCTTAGATGGTGGCAAATAATTTTTTTTGTTGGTATCTGTTGATTGAGAACTACGTAAATGACCACAAATGTCTATGAATTCAGTAATGCCTTAAGTTGTACCAAAGTAATAGGTACAGATGAATGAAAAATAATTGTATCAATATATATCTCACATATAATCAATATATTATTTATTGGGCTCACTAAGTGGATAAGGGATGCCAGCCCTTTTCAATAAATTCAAGCCCTCCAACCCCACCCCTGTGGCGTCCTGGCCGCAGGTCTGAAACCACCAGAATAGAGGCTGTGAACTCTTATGCTCTGGGTTCAAGATTCTGACATAAAAGTAGTGGTTGAAGCTGTGAAATAGATGAGACTCCCATGGGAGTGACTGTGGAGAGAAAATAGGGCACATACAGGGCTGGGGACTGGGTTGCAGGCCTGGAGGGCGGGGGGGAGGAAGCCTCCGAGGGGAACAGGGAGAGGATCAAATGCTCAGAACACCTGGGAAAGGGATGGGCCCAGGGTCTGGAGGCCAAGAAACAGTCGTTAGATTCAGCCTCTGGAAAGTAGTCACGAAAAGAATTTCATCCGAGTGGTGAGAGGAGGCACCAGAGTGCAGGTGGTCCCGCTGCAGTGAGGAGGGAGAGTCTGAGGCTTGAGCAAGTTCAGAGTCAAGGAGGAGCTTCTCAGGAAGGCCAGAGCAGCGTATCTGTAGATGGAAGAGAGTTGGAGGAAGAAAGGTTTGAAGATGTGAGTGAGGGGCGCCTAGGTGATGTCAGGGGGCAGAGAACTGAAAAGGAGGTAGGAATCTTCTTCCTTAGCCACCCTCTGGAAAAAAAACAAAAAATAAAAACAACACACACGAAAACGAAGGAGCAGCACAAAATGATCTTGGGGAAACAGGGAAGAACAAGAAGGGAGCCGAACGTCATGGGGC